TTATATTAATATTTAATTATATTAATTATTATATTATTATTAATATAATAAATATAATTTTATCAATACACTATCATATATAATATTATTATAAAATAATAATTATGATATCATATTATAATTATAGGTAAAGTCTCTAATCCGGCATCGGATTGGAGCGGCACATGTATATATCTTTTAAAAATATGTATATTTCATTTTTGGGGCATGTATATTTCATCTAAAAATATGTATATAAGTGTTTAGACAAATTATAGTTGTCTTCCCACATTATACATGTTTTAAAAGGAAATATACATATGCCGAAGAAGAAATATACATGTTTTAAAGAAAATATACATCTGTAACTCCAATCCGGTACCGGATTGGAGACAATTCCTATAATTATATTATAATTATAATAGCATATTATTAAAATAATTATAATATTATTATAATGTCATATTATATGATAAAATAATAATATTAGAGTTATTAATATAATTATGATATTATTTATTACAATATTACTATTACATTATATTATATTATATTATTGTATTATTATATTATATTATATTATATTATGAGTCTGAATTTTAAATTGGGAAGATTGTAAATTTTAAATTTCATTAGGGGTATTATGGGTATTATGAAAGTTTTATTAATTGTATTATGCTGATTCATGCACAATTTAAAAGTTAAAGTTGCATTTGGGCTGCTTCTGATTTTGGTTGTAAATTCTTCAAAAAGAACTTTTGAATAGATTTACCAAACACTAAAATCAGTTTTTGTTACAAACAGAAACTGATTTTGAAAGTGAAAAGCAATACCAAACCCAGCCTATATATGGTTTTACGATATCCCCTTACAATTTTTTCTATTTTCCTTTTTAGGTTGTTTCATTTTGTTTTGTTTAAACCCTATTTATATCTTCTATTACAAGCATTTAGACATTGAGAAATTGGCAAGGAGATTATAGTAGGTATTGCAACTTCTAATCAAATTTGTGTATTTGATTATGTGGCGCCAAGTAAGATACACAAGTATAAATAATTATGCTTATTGCATAGCATAATACTGGATCCTATGATCTATTTATAATATCTTGTTGATTTAATTTCGAGCGAAAATTCAACTATTAATGAAAAGGGTCTTCATGCGTATGTGTATATACAAAAGCATACGTTAAAGATCCATGCTAACATGCTTATCATGATCTTCTTGTCAGCACTAACGAGTCAGGAAACATCACGTGAAGTACACATGCAGTTACGCATCACTGAGTGCTGTTCAGTGCATGCTAACCACAACTGTTCAAAAGCTCCCAATAAAAGCACCTAGTACAGTAGCAAAATTTGGTAAAAACTTAATTACATATATACATATACTTATGTATATATATATCAACAGTCCGTACAGTTCAGTACTGCAAAGAGTATGCTGTGAGTTACTGTTCCCCATCTAATCATCTTCATATGGACAAAAAGTACTGTATCTAAACTGTCGGTTTTCTTTATGATCTGCCAAGCCAATGACGCAACAAAGTATAAAACTACAACATGCAAACAGTAACAACGAAACCCAGAAATTGACGCCACTTTTTTTTTGGTTGGTGATATTCAACCAGGGAGGGGATAAAATAGTCCAAAAAGCTGCTTTAATCGAAGAGGGAAAACGCTTTTCATGAGAAGTACCTTTCAGGGCAAAAAAGGAAAGCCGTGAAAATCAACAGGAGAAAGAGAGAAGATAAAGATATTATATATGTTTGTATATACTGATCATGATCAGTAGTAATCATATCATATTATGTGTGCACGTATTTTTCTTTTTTTTTTGCCCTTCCAAATAAGGTGGGCAAAGTAATGGTATGCCAATAAATATATTATGATCATAGGTTTAGCCTAACGCTAAATCTACATCTGCATTAATGTTAGGGTTTATGACAAGTTTAGTTTATAAGTTTAATTAAACAAAAAAAATAAAATTTTTTAAAAGAAAATACTATAACAAGACAATTTGAATAATGTTTCGAAACTGTGAATTAGCACATGGGAGCTTAGCTTTTGATATTTCTCCAACCTCAAGTTAAATAAATAAATAAATAAATTATAAAAGTACGTACGTTGGGTTGCTTTTCATGCAGTACTACTACGGCCACTTCATGATATAGACCACCTTTGGCGAATGAAGAGAAAGGAAGGAGCAGTGAGAGAGAAAGAGAGAGAAAGGAAGGAGCAGTGAGAGGATAGAGAGAGAGAGAGAGAGAGAGAGAGAGAGAGAGATGGGAGAGAACAGTGGAGAGAACAGTACTAGTGTTGTTAGGGCTTTGGGAAGCGCTAGTGATGGTGATGGTAGTGTGGAGGAATTAGATCATATTGATGATCAAGAGGTTCTGATGAAGAGGATGATTTCGGGACATCCTTTGTTTGAGCTGTTGATTGAGACACATATCAACTGTTTGAAGGTATTTTTATCATCTTTAACGATCTAACTGTTTTAAGATATTTTTATCATCTTAACGATCTCCCTTTTGTCAGGTTTTCTTTCAAAATTTATGTCGTGCCTATTTCTTCTAGTCTAGCTAGCTATAAAAATGTATAAGAACCTAAATAATGTCTTAGCCAAAAATGGAAAGTAATGTGTAAGTCACCCTCATGCGAAATTATAATGGTAATTTATGATAGATACATTTTGATAAAAATACAAAAGCTTGGAAATCGGGGTGGGGTTAAGGGAGATATCCAAAACTTACATTCTAAAAACAGCCAGCAATGTATAAAAAAAAAAAAAAAAGGAACTAATTAAGCTGATAATAATGAAATTAGATCATCGATCTTCTTGTTCGATCATTGTTAGAATTGGTCAGCGTTTGGTAATTGTTTATGAGCAAACATACATAATGATCGAAGGGATAATGGAATAATCATAAATAATGATCGAAGAGATAATGGAATATTTGATTGTAGTATTTCTCCACACCACTCGGATAATATGTCAACTCTGAGGTATAATATTAGCAAATTAATTGTATTTATCAATTTCTATCATATTGAATCTTGAATGTATGGGAGATCCTATCAATTTACTCATCATCTATATAGCGACAATTTTTGGCAGCCGTAGATTTTATCAATTGGAGAATTAATTAAATGAAAAATCAGCAGAGATGAATACTAAAATTTGTTGATTTAACAATTGAACCAAATTATGGCGGTTACTAATTATGTGTCTAAACTGTAATTACCAAAAAAAAAAAATTGCTGTCAGAGTTGGAAAATATGGTTAAGGTCGTTGGTGTCGTTATAACAGGGAGGAGGATTCAAACTTTAGATCACTCGACTGATCAAAATTGCAAAAGAGAAAAAAAGGAAGAAAAAAAGAAAGAAAGAAAGAAAGAAAGAAAGAAAGAAAGAAAGAAAGAAAGAAAGAAAGAAGAAAAGAAAAGAAAAGAAAATAACAAAAAATTAATAACGATAAAGTGAAAATAAGAATCTCTAATTACTTTCAAGTTTCAACGCGCGCGCCAGATTACTGATGGAAAATCTAGACATATTTTATGCTTCTAATCGTGGTCTGACGAGTAATTAATTATATGATATGTTTTGTCAGGTGGGATTAGGTGAGATTGACGAACTTGTCACGGAAACTTCATTATTAGACGAAGATAATAACAGCAAGTTCATCAATGCTGGCTCTACAATTCCCACTTCTACTGAGCTGGATAAATTTATGGTAAGATCTACATCCCACCTCTCACTATTTGTAATTTGTATTATTTTCTCTGTTTAATAGAAAAATGCTAAATGGAGACTCTAATATACTCTTTTTCAGATGCCACATTACTCTTTTGACATGTATCAGCTTAAGTTTTTAAAACAAACTCACTTATTAATAAGTCACACATTTTAAATAAATTTATATGAGTGCCGTCATTCCCTTTTTAACTCCGCACTCTCTCACGTTCACACGTTTCTTTTTATACTTAATATTTACAGTAACACCAGCCACTTTACTTTTCTTTCTTTATTATATATTTATGACATTGCCATCATGTTTTTACTGTTAAAGGATACGTTTAGTTCATTGATTCGAGTTTTTAATTTGAGTTGAGATGTGACTTTATGTGAGAGCTTTTTATTGTAACAAAAAAGTTAGATGTGACTGTTTCTGAGAGTTTTTTACTGTAGTAAAATTCAAATTTTAAACTCGAATCAGTGAAATGAACGGAGACTTTACATATTCCAGTAAATTCCAATAAAATGAATTATATTTTCCTTCTTGAAAAATTTAATCGAAGTTTGTATCACACAACAACTCTTTTTTTACCCGTAAATATTCCGAGCAAAGCATTCCTCACAGGCCACAAGGACCAAGGAAATTCAACACTCGAATGATCGTCATGAAGATATATAGGTTGCTAATACCAACATGGGATGCAATGCCTTCCTTAGCTACAATTAATATTGAACTTTTTAAGGTTCTCACAATCGAAACTAGGTCCTTAATTCTTAGAATTCTCGAAAGTCAAGACATCTAGGTCTTTAATTCTTAGAATTCTCGAAAGCCAAGACACGTATCTGACCGATTAATAAAAAGAGAAAATGACGCTAGCTTATGGCCGTATTTGGAATTGATCTCATTTTTGTTTTTCACATTTTTTGAGAAAGAAAAAATGAAAACATTTTCAAAACGGTGTTTGGCGCAACAAAGACAAAAAATGAAAATGAAAACGATTTTTTGATTTAGTGTAAAATGAGAGAGAAATGAAAAACGACTTTTAGTCGTTTCTCATTTTTTGTTTTCGTTTTCTCCTCTCTCGAGCAGAGAGAGAGAAAGAGAGACATTAATGAGTTTTTTTATACTGAAAATAATCTCGTGATAAAATTACTAAATGCATTTTTAAAAATGATTTATGTCTGAGATCGAAAACGTTTTCATTTTTATTTTTATACAAAAAATAAAATCATTTTGAAACGAGTTTCAAAAGCGCCCTATAGATCTGAACATCTATTTTGTATACTCAGATCAAACACAACGTAAAGTTCCAAACACTAACCGTTGAAATTCAAGATGGCAACATTTTCCCATAGATTGACTCACAGAATGCTTCCTTTGCACTTTAAAAAATTACAAGTTTGGCTATTCACATGTGATAGGTGCATAATTAACTACAACTAATTTTGAAGACATATATGAGATAAATCTAAATTGTAGTTACATTCGCCTAACATTGCATAGATAATATAAATCTATTTATTTTAACCAATTACGTTTGATTGATGGATGTATGTAGGATGCATATTGCATGGCCCTGAACAAGCTTAGAGAAGCCATGGAGGAACCTCTTAGAGACGCAACATCATTCATAACCAACATGTATGCTCAACTTAGCGATCTCCGTGTTTCAGAAAATGCAGAACTAGAAGATGTTCAAACTTTAGTTTTTAGCGACAAAGATTACGAAGATGTTCAGAATTCGGTCGCGAGAAAACTTTCTGCGACCAAGCTGTAGATTCCACCTAATGACCAAAAATTTGGTAAAAAAAAAACACAAAGCACTAATATTTTGGTCGCAGAAAACCTTTTTTCCTCTAGTGTTAGACATAATAGTGGCTAAGAATAAACAGTTATGCGAGCCCCGTTGATGTCTAATTATTACATTTTGTTATTATGCGATCTAATTATAATGTTATCAGTAGATATTATGTCTTGGTTAGTTATGAAATATGTTGTTGGACATGGTTCTTGTCAAAGAGCTTGTTGTTATTAGTTTGTTCATAGTTGGCTCTGTATCAGGTTTCATTAAACAATCCTTATATTATTTGAACTAAAAGAGAGACCTCTAAGGTATCTTAGTCCATCCCAACTAAATTAGCATCTTCTAAAAAAAAAAAAAAACTATAATGTATCAAGTCCTCCACTCTAAATATATATATATATATATAAATAAATACAATTAGTTTTGGAAACTCTGAGAGGTAAATTATTACATGAAAAGGCGAATGAATATATAGTCCCTTTCTTGTCACAATAATTATTAGCTTCAATCTTGCACCAACTTAATTTGAGAATTTAGGGTACTTATAAAGGAAAACTATCTGACGCTCAAAATAAAAAAAAAAAATCACTTGAGAAAGGCATAAAGTAGTTTCGAAAATAAGATGAGCATACCTTTCTCGTGCTAATTAATCTAGTCCTATTTATAGGGCTTGAAAAATTCATATATGAATACGATCAATATCTTATCCACAAGGCGTTTATTTTATGTTCCACACGCACGCATGCATACTATTACAATTATATTCGCATAATCACAAGAAGTCTTCGCTAAATCTTAGGGTATATTTGGCAGTAATTTTTAGAGCCTAAAATCAATTTTCTAACCATCTATAGTTGAAATATGTGTTTAATAAAAACCATAAAAAGTGATTCTTAAAGAATTTTTGAGGAATTTACAGTCAAAATTAGAAGCAGCCCCTTTGACTTTTAGATTGTGCGGCAATCACCTTAAAGTACAATTAATAAAACTTTCATAATATCCCTAGAATCAAGACTTGTATAATTACAGTTTATCAAACACTCAGTTATTTTTTGTAACAATTATTTTTTTTTTCAACACAATTAATAACAATTTTTTTTTTTAAATCTGCAGTACTACCAATCTGGCCCTTATGATCTTTGGCCTTAATGCACTCTGCAGGACGCAATCTGTTGTCTTTAAGTTGAAAATATAAAACGGTCTTGCAGTTTAATTCGTATGATTTCGCTGACATACGTCATCGACCCAGCTACATTGTTTCTATGGCGTCACATTTCAACTAAGGTAAAAGATTGATAACAAAAGAGATAGAACTTTATGGAATGAAAACGAAAGTTAAATTTGAAGCCATGGTACAACACACGAATTTTATAAATAGAAAGAACGATAGCAATAAGTTTGAGCAAAAACGGGTTAGGGTTTTTCGTTCGAATTTTTAAATCATGAGCCTAGCAGCTGTATTTATTAAGACAAGAAACGATAGGTATTCAACGTAGATTTTTAACAAAACCACCATTAAATCAAACAACTTTTATAAAAGCTCTCAAAAAATGCTGTCTTATGTTTGAAAAGAGAACGCAATTCTATATATGCTGCCTTTTTTGGTGGGAGATATGATAACAATTTTTATTTTCCTTCGAGGGGCAAAATAGGTTGCTAACTAAAGAGACGTTTAGTTAATAGATTATAATTATGAGATTAGAATTATTTTCGATTTACGTGTATTTTTTGTGAGAAAAAATACTGTAACAAACTACGAACCATGATTCAAATCGAGATACGAATCTCCCAACCAAACAACTCCTAAGCTAAGATAATAGATAGAAAGTCGTACCCTAAACCATCATCATTAGTTTATGTTATTATTTCAATGATAGTGACAAATGAGGGGATAACTTAATTACTTGTTAGTCCCTCAATCCCAACTATAAATTGAGGGTTTGAGTTTCGAGTCTCATTTGAATGTGGTGTCATTTTTTTCTTCTCTTTGTATAAATTTATATATATATATATATTTCAGTGATAGTATTATACAAATACGAAGTTACAAACTAAAATTCTTACCAATTTGCGCCCGCTAAGTAATGCATTTTCCACACTAATGAAAAATACTAGCCAACGAACTTCTACTTAGTGAACAAAGTTCGGTAAAAATCTTAATTTGTATTCTTATTATTTATAAGCGCACATATATGTGTGTGTGTGTGTGTGCCTGACACCTAGCTAGTTTTTGTTGAGCACTTCCTTTTGTGCTTCCAAGTGAGTAGTCGCCAAATCTTCAGCGCCAAATACTTGTTCACCGTGACACATGCACAAGTTGAGATAGCCACAAATACACTTGGTTACATCAAAGCAATCGTTCACAGTTTTGCATGGAATGTTCACTACATTTCTTGCTTCACCTTCAAACTACTTTTGAGAACCTGAAAAGTTTTTTTTTTTTTTTAATTTTATAATTAGTAAGAAAGCGTATAGTGGTTAAAAATTGAATAAAAATTGTAAGAGAAAGATATATCTTGAACATTACCAAATGCAATAAGAAATAGCAAAGCTAAATCAAGCAATCTTGAAGATCTCTCCATGATAGGTTTTTCAGAAATATTGGTATGGTAAAAGTATGGAATGCTTATTCTTGTGTGTTACTTTATTGTGGTTAAGAGCTATTTATAGATGAACAAGGTAAGTCATTATTAGAAAAGGTAATTAATATCATTTGACCCAATCAAATCAGGACATAATAAAATATCATAGAATTTATTGCACAATCAAGCCTTGGATAAGGTTTGACATATTACATTCGAGTAAAATGGTGTGACAAAAGATAATCCTTATTCAAAAAGGTAAATAAAGTTACTTAATTACTTTTGATATACATATATACATATATATATATATATATATGATATAAGAGATCATGTTGGGCTCACTTAAATCCAAACACAATAAGGTTCCGTTCATTTTACCGATTTAAGTTTATAATTCAAATTTTATTATAATAAAAAGCTCTCAGAAACAGTTACATTTGACTTTTTGTTATAGTAAAAAGCTCACACATAAAGTTACATCTCAACTCGAATTAAAAACTCGATCAGTGAACTAAATGGACCCTAAATGTGATAAAATACAGTGCACAATCAAGTGGGATATTGTTGTGAGATATTGTTGTGAATAGTGGATAAAGGTTGCCCTTATCTGTTAAGCCAAGAGCGAGGAGCTTTCTAACGTGGCAAGTTTAGGGTTTTTGCTTTCCTATTTTTAGCGGAATTGTTTGTCACTGCAACTTCTACATGCGAGATTATTTGTTTATTTTTTAATTTGGGTGAGGAATTCAATCACTATTATATTTTATGGAGTCAAATGTAAATCACTAAGAGCCGTTTAGTTGGAGGATTCGTTCTCTGATTCGAATCATGGTTCATGGTTCGTTACAGTATTTTCTCTCACAAAAAACACACGTAAATCGAAAATGATTCTAATCTCATGGTTTTAATCCATGAACCAAACGGGCTCTAATATATTATCACTATTATATCTGCATAGCACTTGCTCTCTAACTAGTACTTTCTAAAAATTATTGGTTCCTAATTAGCATCATCCAAATAAGAGCATCCCAGTTTACCACTTTGATAAAACAAAGGGTTTTAGAATATAATTATTTCCTAAAATAATTGATAATATAAGGTTACCATTGTAGTTTTCAAAAATAGAGGGATGAATTTATAAATTAACTCTAGAAGGTGTATTTTATGTAATTACTGTAAATATATAGTAAAATCAATGTAGAAAGGATTTTTTTCTTCTGAAATTCCTATAAATATTAAGGATAAAAAGAGAATAATATATTGTTGATATAATTCTGAGTAAATAGTCTATTTTCAAAAAATTAAAATAAATATCATATTTACTCATAAATATTTTTTTTACTCAAAGTAAATATATACTTCTTTAATAAATAAATTATTACGCCCAATATTTATGAAAAAAGCTAAGATGTTATAATTTCATCGCTCAAAATATGTTAAAGTTTCACATCGATGTTATTTATTGCAAATTTTTGAATGGCATTCCATCAAAAAGGAACAAAAAAAAAAAAAAACTATTAGCATAAACAAACCTAAAGAGACGCAAATTAGGGTGGACATTTGATTTACAAATTTAAAATTATAATTTAAAAATTATTCTTAATTTATATATATTTTTTAAAAAAATATTATAATAAATTACGAATTATAATTTAAATCATATGAATTATCGTATTAAACACGCTGAAACTATTTTTTTATCCTTTTGTTACTCTACTAATTACTCTGCGGCAATTTCATCTCATTGCTTCTCTCTCTCTCTCCGCTCTGGGATGGCTTTTGCTTCCCTTAACCTTGGAGCTCTCCCTCAAACAACTCTCTCAATCTTATCCACCACATTTTCTCCCAAACTTTCATCTTTTCTCTCGCCAACTCGCAGGCCTCCTTGCCTTGGCGTTGTGAGATCGGCTCTTCGCGAATGGAACGAGTACGAGGAGGCCGTGAAGCGCAAGGACCTTGCTGGGGCTCTCAGGTTCTTGAAATCCATGGAAACCAAAGACCAAGAAGAAAAAGAGCTCCGTCTTGGGTCGTCTCGGTTTGGTGAGTTGGGGATTTCTAATTCTGGGTTTCAGAGGGATTGGGAGGTTTTGGACACGTGCTTGAATGCTGATGATATGAGGCTCGTTGGGAATGCTTATAAGTTTCTCAAGGATAGAGGCTTCTTACCCAATTTCGGAAAATTCAGGAACATTGGTAATCTTTCTTTTTTTCAAAATTCTTTTGGGTTTTTTTTTTTTTTTTTTTTTTGGATGAAGCTATTGGTTTATTTGTTTGATTTATAAGAACAAAACTTAAAGGCAGTTAGGAGGTGAGTTAAAATTAATTATTTTAATTCTAGCGCTTTCCTTTTATATGTGGGATAAACAATTGACAATTGTCTGTTCAAATATTATTTATTTGAATAGGCTTAAAACATATTAAAGGCTAAAATTATTATGTTAAGTTAGTTTGAACTCGGAAGCTTTTACTCGGACAGACTCATACCATGTCTTAGTTTTTATCTTTCAGGTTTTACAGAAAAATCATGTGGATGGGACTTGTTTTAAAGAACCCTTTTCCTATCTATATAATCCTTCCTAACCTGCATATTTCCTTTATAATATTAGCTTCGTTGCTTTGTTCTTAATTCTTATGAAGTGTTCCAATAGGGCATACCTTAGATCACAGTAAACAAAAGCACAAGTGTGAAGTAACTAACGGCCAACCATGGATTGTAGGTGTGCATGTCCTACCTTATAAAGTAGTGTGAATTGGAGAAGCAAGCAAAAGAGAAATATATTTCATGTTATCCTATATTGAGCTTAAAAAATGCTTGGGATTGTACATTATGTTTGTCTTAGTCTCTTTATATTGCGTGATTGGGGATTGCTTTGATCAAACCCTTCTAGGTTATCACCATGTATCTAACTAAAAATTGCACCCAAGAACAAATCTTTAAAATTTATGCTCAAATAGGCACCTGGGTTTCAACATATTGAATGTTTTCTTTATAGGTTGTTAAGTCAATGCATTTTGTAACAAAACAATTTGTGTTGTGCAAATTCATTACATTGTTTCTTCGCCAAGTTTTGTATGCATTTCAGAGTTCAATTCTGGAAATTATCATACATGCATTGCACGCAATTGATTCCTGTCGTCTTAAATTTAATGCTTATACTTTCATCTTAATGTTTTACCGCATTTTTCATCTGTTTCAGTATTGGAGGGATCAAGAAATGTTACACCAAGTGTATTGAAGGATTCAACTGGTTTAGAAGGTGCTTCTAAAATCTTTTTCTCTATGGTCATTTCTACTAATCCCTAATTATAAATCTCTTCCCTGACGTTTCTTTGGAGTTATGCATTGTTATCGTATTATGTCCAATTCCTTCGCAAACTTGGTGTGAGAGAAGCGCCCATGCTCTTCAATTTAACTCTTCAATTTATTCGGATCATAAATTAGTTGTGCCACCATTTCGAACCTTGTCGTTTCATTTTGAATGCTCTTGTTCCCCATCAAAGTTCAGGTTTTTTCTTGGCTATTGGTGCTTGGTGAGGTTAATACGCCTGAAGTGTGGCAGAGAAGGAAACTTTGTGGATAATTTTCCTTCTCGGTGTCTTCGGAAAGAAGATATGGAGAGTTTTAGTCATTTAATTTTGCACTGTAAGTGTATGGCAGTGTTCAAGATCTGGTGTATGTTTCTCATGTTATAGTATCAGCAACTCCAATAACGAAAGGAAATTGGAAATGCTGAATTTTTTTTATTTGTTGCTAGCTTGGGCTCGAAAGAATTTAGGGGAGTTTTGAGAAGTTAGAAGAGAACGAGGAAGTATGCGGGGTGTTATAAGTAGCAGGACTTTTTGCATTGTCCTTTGTAAAGGACATATCGCTTTTCTTTTTCTTTGGTTGACAGGAATTGAGGGGGACTTGACGTGTGACTGCTGTAATATTGGTTTTTATTTTTGTTTTGCACTTCAAGCCTTCTAGAATAAATCTTCTTCTCTAGCCTTGTGTCATTCTTTTTATTTGATTTTGTATTATATTTTTCTGTTACGTACAAAAAGAAAAATATCTATATAATTGCTGCATTGAATCCAGTTCTAACAATTTATTTCTTCTCTTTCTTATAACCTTCTATGCAGCTTCAAAATTTGCTCCAAAAAAGTGGGGTCTATCTGGAAGTTCAAGTCTTGCTATGATCGCATTCCTTGGCGGTACATCTTTTCTTCTGTCCAAAGGCATTGATATTAGGCCTAATCTTGCAGCAATATTGGGACTAGCATTTGTAGATTCTACCTTCCTTGGTGGTTGCTGTTTAGCTCAAGTATCGAGTTATTGGCCTCCAAACAGACGTCGGATCCTTGTTCATGAAGCAGGGCATCTCCTAACAGGTAAGCCTCTAATTCAGGTTTTGGTGCTGGCCAAGTGTTTTCCTTGGGGTGTTGATTATGTACTACCACTTATCTTAGTAAATACCTCTTTTTCTCCAAACTACATTCTTTTCCTCAATAAGCATTCTAGTACAGTCACGTAATCATCAGGTAGAAAAAGGGGATCCTATTCTAATGATTTGTTTTACTACCTTGCAGCGTACTTAATGGGCTGTCCAATTCGGGGAGTCATTATAGACCCAATTGTCGCCGTCCAAATGGGCATTCAAGGGCAGGTAATTGGGTTGTGTGTGTGTCAAGTTTCATTCAGTTGTTGTTCGCCATACCAAAGCAACTAAATTTGGAGAGGCTGATAGATTCTATACACGTATGCTAATATGTATGTATATGTCATGCCTCTATGCTTCCGTTCTTTTTTCTGTTTGGATCAGTTGTAAAGAACACAATATGCTGAAATCAGGGGGAAGGCTAAGTATAGCCTATGATTTGTTGGAGTAAATTCGGATTTGGGAGGATGAAAAGAATAGAGAATTCAGAAACAAGGGTTTGAGGCGTATAGGAATACTTTCCTTTAAGGTTTTATTTGCCCTCACTTCTCAAAGTTTGCTAACGAGTTCTAAATGGCAAATTACCCCCAAGATACAACAAACCTTTGAACACAATATCCAGCAAAAATATTGAGTTCCAGAACAATGTATATCAATCTGTATTTTCTGAAGTCCATCATATAAAGACAGGGATGCATTCATCCACTTTAAGTGTTACAACCTTTCACATAAAGATACCTTTTCAATTTGATGGTTATCTTTTTATATGCTGATACACTTATAACAATAGTTATTTCTATTGTTAATAAGTGCTCAGATATGTGAGAAAACATATCACAAATAGATGCAATGGTTCGAGACCTTTTCAGATCACTAAAACACACGAACACATTTTCCGTCGAAGATTTGCGCTGCAGCGCTCAAATGCGCGCTGCAGTGCGCCCGTGCGCTGCAGCGCACGTGCCTAGCAAAACAGACCCGAGGGTCT